AGAGGAGAGAGAGGGGGAGAGGAGGAAGAAGAGCAGAAGAGTGGAGGGAGGAAGGGAGGGGAGGGAGAGGGAGGAGGGAGAGAGGGAGAGAGAGAGAGGAGAGGGAGAGAGAGGAGAGGGAGAGGGAGAGGAAGAGGGAGAGAGGAGAAGAGGAGAGGAGAGAGGAGAGAGAGAGAGTGAGAGAGAGAGAGAGAGAGAGAGAGAGAGAGAGATTGAGAGATAGAGAGAGAGAGAGAGAAGCGAGACGAAGTCGGACACACCAAAAACACACCCACAAAAAAACACAAAGAAAAACAAACAAACCAACCAACCCAACAAACGGAGATACATAACAAGATACCAAAATCAACCACAACAATACCCCCACAGCCAGCCCCACAAAATAATATATTCCCATTGCAGCGCACGCCCCAGCCATTAATTTCTGATCGATTCCGCCCCCCCGTCGGTGACGGCTCTAATTCACTGTCAATAATTCTGCAATAATGCTAACGTGAGGCTAATTATCTTGACAATAATTCACCTTTCAAAAGATGTCTCTTCGCAATGATCCAAAAGATACTATATACTATTATATAATAATTAATATATATATAATATATTATATATATATTAAATATAGTATATATATATATATATATGGTGTTGTTGTGTGTGAGTGTGTGTTGTGTGTCGTGTGTGGTGTTGTGTGTGTGTGTGTGTGTGTGTGTGTGTGTGTGTGTGTGTGATGTGCGTGCCGTGCTGTGCGTGCGTGCGTGCGTGCGTGCGTGCGTGCGTGCGTGCCGGCGTGCGTGCTGCGTGCTTGCGTTTGTGCGTATCGTGTGTACATATATATGTGATATAAATACTATATTCTTTCAAGCAGCATACCATAATAATCACATACCGCAATTCAAATCAATCCAACCTCCACTGGAATGAAAAACCACGAAATAGGAGTCCTTCTTTCTCCTGATACACCCACCCCCACCCCCAACCCCACCCCCACACAACCAATCTCAACTCCGAATCGGGAACACGAATCGCGCCACACACACACACCGACCCCGAATCCGCGCCTAATCCCTCGTGTCCCCCCCCCCCCCACCCCCGCCACACCCACGTGCGGATCCGTGAATGAATCGAGAAGCCGAATCGAGCTGGACGGACGCGGCCCGGTTACGAGAGAGCGGGTGAAGAAGGCATCGCGTCCAGCATATGGCGGGCGGGCGGAGGGTCCGGTCCCTCTGCTGCTGCTCCTTCTTCTGGTCAGATCTTCATCACGCGGGGGGAGCTGGCGCGGTCAGTCTCGCTTTTGTGTTGTCGTGTTGTGTTGTTGTTGTTTATGTTTTGTTGTTGTTGGTGTTGATGTTGTCGAGTTGTTGCTGCTGCTATTATTGTTATTGTTGTTGTTGCTTGATGTCGATGATGTTTTTGTTGTTGCTGTTGTTGTTGTTTTGTTGGTGTTGTGGATATTGTTGTTGTTGTTGTGATATTGTGTTGTTGTTGTCGTTGTGTTGATATTGTTTTGTTGTTGTTGTGATTTGTGTTGTGTTGTGTTGTGAGTGTGTTGTTTGCTTGTTGTTGTGTTTGTTGTTTGTTGTTGTTGTTTTGTGCTGTCGTTGTCGTCGTCGCCGTCGTCGGCATCGTCGCGTCGTCATTGATGTTGATGTCATTGATGTTTTGTTGTTGTTGTTGTTGCCGTAGTTCTTCTTGTCGTTTATCTATAATTCCAAACAATTCTAACGGCCGTTCTGCTTTCCTCGCGACAAACGACCCCACCGCTTTCCCCTTCCCGCCGCCCTCCCGCCCCCCCCCGCCGCCGCCCAGCCCTCCCTGCCCTTCCATGATGTCGGCTTCTCCTCGACCCCACGATACAGAGGGACCAGAGCCCCACGAAGGCCCAAGGGAAGCACCCCCCCACCCCACCCCCGCCGCCCCCAACACCACCACCGCGAACCCTGACGCACCGAACCACTCCGCGCCCGCCATCGCCCCCGAGCATCTTCGTCTAAATCACGTCGTGTCTTGGGTCTCCGCTTCTCCGCTTCTCCGCTTCTTCGCTTCTCGCTTTCTTCTTCGCTTCTTCCGCTTCTCGCTACTTCGCTTCTTCGCTTCTCCGTTTCTTCGCTTTCGCTTCTCCGCTTCCCCGCTTCTTCGCTTCTTCGCTTCTTCGCTTCTTCGCTTCTTCGCTTCTCCGCCATCGCCTGCTTCGTGGTCCGTCCCAAGCGCCTCTGACAGCATCGTCTGCGAGGAAAGGGCCCCTCAGCGCACGCCGTCCCGGCCGACGCCGCTCGCCGCAGCAAATCAAAATGTTGATGTTTAGAGCAAAATGGCGCATCGGCTAACAATCAAGCAGGCACGCACGTACGGACACACATGAGGCAACATGCCTGTGCAAATACACACACACCACACACACACACACACACACACACACACACACACACACACACACACACACAAAAAAAAAAAAAAAAAAAAAAAAAAAAAAAAAAAAGCGGGTTTCCGCCTCTAAAGCCAACCCTTTCCCAAGTAGGCCTACAAACCAAGACAAAAAAAAAAAAAAAAAAAAAAAAAAAAAAAAAAAAAAAAAAAACGTAGCAGACACAACACCCCTACTCCTCGCCTCCCCCCCCTCCACCCCCGGTTCCTGCAAGCAAGCACCGGAACGACGCATCATCGCCACCCCCCCCCCATACCAACCCCGAACACGAAGGGAACCGAACGAACGTACCCTGTGCGACGGCGTTCGTGCTTGGCTCTCGTGCGGAGACGATTTCCAAAAGGGGGGGGGGGTAGAGGGGGAGAAGGGGAGGGTTAGAGGGGAAGGGAAAGAGGGGAAAAGGGGGGAGGGGGAAGAAGGGGGAGAGGGGAAGAAGGGGAGGGTAGAGGGGAAGGGGGGAGGTAGAGGGGGAAGAAGGGGAGGGTAGAGGGAAGAAGGGGAGGGTAGAGAGGGGAAAGCAGGGGAGGGTAGAGGGAGAAGGGGAGATAGGGGAAAGAAGGGGAGGGGAGGGGAAGAAGGGAGGGTAGAGGGAAGAAGGGAGGGTAGAGGGTAGGGAGGGGGAAGAAGGGGAGGGTAGAGGGAAAGAGGGGAAGGGAAAGAGGGAAGAAGGAGAAGGAGAGGTAGAGAGGGAGAGGGAGAGGGGGGAAGGAGAGTCCGTTTTGGGCTGCAGGGTTCAGGAGTTGCTGTTACTGCAGGGGCGCCTCTCCGTGTGTCCGCTGTCCGTGCGTCCGTTGCCTGGTCCTTGTATCTGTCGTTGTCTGTGTGTCCGTTTGTTCGTGCTTCCGTTGCCTGTGTCCTTGTATGCTGCCCGTTGTCTGTGTGTCCCGTTGCCGTGCCTGTTCCTTGTATGCTGCCCGTTGTCTGTGTGTCCGTTATACGTCGTTCCGTTGCCTGTGTCCTTTGTATGCTGCCCGTTGTCTGTGTGTCCGTTTATACGTCGTCCGTTTGCCTGTGTCCTTGTATGCTGTCCTGTCTGTGTGTCCGTTATTACGTCGTCCGTTGCCTGTGTCCAATCCGTTGTCTGTGTGTCCGTTATACGTCGTCCGTTGCCTGTGTCCTTGATGCTGCCCGTTGTCTGTGTGTCCGTTATTACGTCGTCCGTTGCCTGTGTCCTTGTATGCTGCCCGTTGTCTGTGTGTCCGTTATACGTCGTCCGTTCCTGTGCCTGTGTCCTTGTATTGCCTGTCCTTGTATGCTGTCCGTTGTCTGTGTGTCCGTTATACGTCGTCGTTGCCTGTGTCCTTGTATTGCTGCCCGTTGTCTGTGTGTCCGTTATACGTTCGTCCGTTGCCTGTGTCCTTGTATGCTGCCCGTTGGTCTGTGTGTCGTTATACGTCGTCCGTTGCCTGTGTCCTTGTATGCTGCCGTTGTCGTCCGTTATACGTCGTCCGTTGGTGTCCTTGTATGCTGCCCGTTGTCTGTGTGTCCGTTATACGTCGTCCGTGCCTGTGTCCTTGTATGCTGCCCGTTGTCTGTGTGTCCGTTATCGTCGCGTCCGTGCCTGTGTCCTTGTATGCTGTCCGTTGTCTGTTGTGTACGTCGCCCGTGCTGTGTCCTTGTATGCTGTCCGTTGTCTGTGTGTCCGTTATACGTCGTCCGTTGCCTGTGTCCTTGTATGCTGTCCGTTGTCTGTGTGTCCGTTATACGTCGTCCGTTGCCTGTGGTATGCTGCCCGTTGTCCTGTGTGTCCTGTCCGTTGTCGTGGCCTGTGTGTGTGTGTCCGTTGTCCGTTGTCCGTTGTACGTTGTATTGTCCTGTGTGTCCGTTTTCTGTTTCGTTGTTCGTGCATCCGTTGCTCTTGTCATTTCGTTGTTGTATTTGTTTGCTTGTTTTTATTATGTTTGAGCGTCGACACCGCACCGACGTCAGGCTCATATAAAATAATCGTGGTTGAGTGATACGTTTGTTTGCTTTTAATTTGTATCCGCTTTTGTTTCTTGGAATTGTGAGTCATTCCTTCTTCTTCGGAGAAATCCTTAGGCTGGTGTTAACGCCTCAAATAATATAAACCCTCAAAAATGTCTTTAAATATATATATATTTTTTTTCTTTTTTTTAAATCTAAACTGCAGAAAGGCAGCGGCAGCGACGGTAATAATGATTAATAATAATTGATGATAATGATTACTAATAACAAAAAACAATAACCAATAAGCATAAAAACACAACAAAATCAACAGCAAATAAATGCCAAAACCTGGATCCCGAGAGACGCCCCCCTCGCGTCCTGCCTCCCCCCCCTCCCGGCCCCCCCCCCCCCGGACGGCATTCCTCCCTAACGGTCCGCTTCGTCTTCCACACATGTCCCCGTCGGAGCGGTGCGAATCTGTCCTCCCCCCCAACCCCACCCCCACCCCCCTCTCTCTCTGGCTCCCTTATTTAGCCGTTTAACTAATCTGTTCTATTTACCCAATTGTCGTATTTTCCCCTCTTCCGCTCTTTCCCTTCCTGTCGTTCGCTCGCCTCTGCTTTATTCGCTTGGGGAAGGTTGTCTCTCTCGCTTGGTCTGGGTTCATGTGTGCCTCTGTTTCTTTCTGCTGTCTGTTTGTCTGTCTGTGTGTCCGTCTGTCTGTCTGTCCTGTCTGTCTGTCTCTGTCTGTCTCTCTATATGTATGTATGTATGTATGTATGTATGTATGTATGTATGTATGTATATACTACTACTATATATATATATATATATATATATATATATATATATATATATATATATATATATGTTACATCCATCTATGTTACATCACCCACTTTCCACCTAACCCCCAGCTTACCCCTCCTTCCTTTCCTTCAAACACCTTACATAATTCACTTTACAAGCTACGCCCCTTTCTCCTTTCTATTTTTCACCTCCCCTCCCCTCTCACTCCCCTCCCTCCCCCTCCCGCCACCTTCCCCTTCCCTTCCCCCTCCCCCTCCCTCCCCTCCGTTCCCCTCCTCCCTCACCCGGTGCCAAGGCGCCCCCCCCCCCCGCTTGCGTCAACCCCGAGCCACAGACATTTCCTTTCATAAGAAGCCCCGGGGAAGCGTGACAGACGTGAACCCTTCCTGGGCTCCTTATCCTAGTCCACATTATGACGTACATACACGCACAGACAAGCCTGCCGCATCGAAGACGTAAAATCCAATAATAATTTAAATCCTAATAATAATCCCGCATAAAAAAAAATTGGCCAATAACACCAAAACAAAGCAGAGAAGAAAGAAGGAAAAACAGTCACAGTAAGAGAACGCCAACAAAGCAGAGAAGAAAGAGAGAAAGAAGTCACAGCAAGAGAACGCAAACCCCCAAAACAACAATCCATGACCTACCCCTTTTCTTCCGCGCGACGTGAATAAGAGACCAAAAAAGAGAGACCCTAAAGCCACGAGCCGCCCGAGCCGCTCCCCTAAACCTCGTCTTCGTTTCCTTCCTTCCTTCCCTCCACCGACCCGAGATGACACCCAAAGCCCGCAGACCCTTTAACCGATGTCCGCTCGATGGCCCAGGAGCAAGGTCTATATAAGTACACCTTGCCCAGGAGGTCGGTGCCCCTGACGCCGTGCAGTGCGTGCCCCGCGGCCGCCCTTATCGCCGGCCCTGAATCGCACTTCCTGGGGCTTGCGGCGAGGCGCTGATACCCGGCGGTACGGGGTGATGCAGAGATTGGGGGGGGGGGGTTGTGATTCACTGAAGGGAAAAAAATCTAGATTACGATGAGAGAGAGGGAGGAGAGAGGAGGAGAGAGAGGAGAGAGAGAGGGAGAGGGGAGAGAGGAGGAGAGGGGAGAGAGGGAGGGAGGGAGGAGGAGAGGGAGGAGGAGGGAGAGAGGAGGGAGGAGAGAGAGGGAGAGATGAGAGAGAGAGAGAGAGAGAGAGAGAGAGAGAGAGAGAGAGAGAGAGAGAGAGAGAGAGAGAGAGAGAGAGAGAGAGAGAAGAGAGAGAGATGTCAGAGATTGCACAGCTGGAAGAAGGACATAAAGTGTGACGTAGGAGCCGTGAAATATTCAGAGTCAACGAAGAGTGGGCAGAGAGAAAATACATATAACTGCAGAATCAGTGAAAGGAAGGTTGTGTAAATATAGAAAAAAGAGAAACCTGAAGACAGAAAAACTGTGACTGTGCGACCAGTGACATAAATGCATAAGCAAAGCAAATAATCTAAAAGAAAACACAACCTTACTAAAACAAGAAAGAGGATAACACAAACAAAGGGTTGACTGACCGAGAGAAAGGGGAACAAAAGAGAAAAAGAGTAAAAAATGGGAGAATGACCCCTCGTAACGGAATATATAAAAAGCGGAAAGATCTCCCATGCCAGCGCCGCGGAGAAAGAATAAGCAGTGCGGTGGAGAGAATAAAACAGCCAAAAAGAATACAGAGCGGCGGCGAGAAATGCCACAGCGCCCACCACAGGAAAGGGGCCGGCACCGTGCCACGGCCGGGCGCGAGCGAGGGGAAGCGAGGCGGGACAGGACACGGGCCCGACACGGCCGTGGCCCGCGCCGCTGCAACCCTTTCGGCGCGGGTCATCCGCCCGAAAGGCCTCCCTCCGCCCTGACCTCGTTCTCCGCGTAGGCTTCGCCCCTCGCTCGGCCCCGGAGCCCCACACCAGGCGAGGAACGCCCCCGAAGCCCCGGCGAGAGAGCCCTTCGCCCGGCCTCGGCGCCACCGACTCAGGATAAGCCCCGCGACCATCCGCGACCGAACCCCGCTAACGTGCTCCGCAACCCCGCTATAGCGGAGGCCTCGCGCGTCGCCCGGTGCCCCGCCGTGCCCGCTGTCACTCGCACGTGGGCTGGCGGGTCCGGCTCGCGGGCAGCCCCTCGCCCGCCGCAGTCAACGCGCAGCTCATTAGCATGCAGAGGTACGGAGACAAGGACCGGAAGTGGCCTTGATGGACGGCGATTGCGGACGCGGCGGCGGCGGCGGCGGCGGCGGCGCGCGGGCGAGCGCACCGTTTGGAGAGGAAGAGCTTGTTTATTTGTTTATTTTCGCTCCTTCCGCCTTCGCTTCCTCCGTGCACGCGCTCCTACGCCT